TGTCGGAGACAGGTTCACCGTTTCAGCGGTAACAGTTACAAAGGGTACACCACTAGGGCTGAGGCCGAATCTAGATACGCCCGCTATCTAGCGGGAGAGAGGAGGCAGCGTTGGAGGAACTGGATGAAGACCAGTTTGATCGCGATGATGCTCATCATGATGACCACAACTCTCTTCTATGTGATGGTAGTTTAGATGGTCGATATGGACTTGTAATGTGAAGACAAACTAGCTACTCGCGGTCTCAAGACTTGTAATGTTCTATCTTTGTTCGGTCTTTTGAATTCAGAGACTAATATGATGATTTGTATTCGAGACTTATCTTCTATTGTATTCGATGAATCTGCTGTTGCTGTGTGGTGTTGTCTAAATTCTGTCCAATAATATATTTTGTAACCTGTGAAAATATCAGAAAAGAAAAAAAATAATCCCTAATATTCATACTAGTGGCGCACCACGCAAGACACTAATGGCGCACTCTGATAATCACACTAATGGCACATCGCCCACTGGTGCGCCATTAGTATGCCAAAGCACATGGGTACATATGGCCCCATGGAAAGAATTCTAATAGTGCACTGTGGGCAATACTAATGGCGCACTACGTGGTGCGCCATTAGAACACCAGATACTAATGGCACACCAGTGGTGCGCCATTAGAATTTAATTCTAATGGCGTGATGCTAGTGGCGCACCAGTAGTGCGCCATTAGAAGGCAAAACTGGTGCGCCACTAGCATGCCTTTTCCTAGTAGTGTACTAGCAACCCGCAAGTACCAATTTATGGTTTTGATACAAGATTGGATACAAGAGATGAACTAGGGTTTTGAGATGAGATGGTGTTGGTGAAGATGTTGATGGAGATTGACCCCCTCCTAATGAGAGGATCGTTGGTGATGACGTTGGTGATGATTTCCCCCTCCCGGAGGGAAGTGTCCCCGGCAGAACAGCTCCGCCAGAGCCCTAGATTGATTCCGTCAAGGTTCCGCCTCGTGGCGGCGGAGTTTCGTCCGTAAACTTGCCCACGAATTTTTCCAGGACAAAAACCTTCATATAGCAGAAGATGGACGCCGGAAGCCCACCATGGGGCCCAGGAGATACGGGGCCGCGCCCTAGGGGGGGCGGCCCCTGTCTCCTGGACAGGGTGTGGGCCCCCTGGCCTATTTCTTTTGTCCAAAAATTCTTAATAAATCTAAAAAGTTGTTTCGTTGAGTCTCAGGTCTTTTGGAGTTGTGCAGAATTGGTTTTCGACGTTTGCTCCTTTTTCAGCCAGAATTCCAGCTGCCGGCATCCCCCCTCTTCATGGTAAACCTTGTAAAATAAGAGAGAATAGCCATAAGTATTGATATATAATATGTAATAACAGCCCATAATGCAATAAATATTGATATAAAAGCATGATGCAAAATGGACGTATCAGTAAGGCCCCGTATCGGCTGAGGTTCCGAGATGCTTGGCGGCATAGAAGTACAGAGGCTGGTAAGGCCCTGGCTACGGCGCCACATGTACTATGGGCGCACCCATCTGGCGGTGTCCGCCACGACCTCCACGCCCATCGCCACCACCAGGCCCATTGGCGGCCAACCGCTTCTTGAGCTTCTCCTCCTTTGCAGCCTTCCACTTTGACGCGACGAGTTTGCCGCGTCGCAGAGATGATCTTCCGAGTTCGAATTTACCCCCGGGTCGCCCTCCCTGGTGACACGGGGGAAACTGCATCCGCCGCCGTCGGGCAACCCCTCCTCCGCCCGCCCCCGCTGCGCCGTCGCCGGAGGGCCGACCGGCGAAGCTGCCCCGCGCCCCAGGATGGCGGCGGCGCGACGAATCCGTTCCGCCCACCAACCCCCACCTCCCCCACCACGCGCTTCCCCGCCCCCAAATCCGCCACCACCGCAGGTCAACACCCCGCCTGTTTCCGCTGCGCCGCCGCCGGGGGGCCGACCAGCTTGGTCGGGCCGCTCCTCGCGAAGACGGCGGCGGGACGGATCCGACCCAACGCGCGCTCCCCCACACCCCCCTCACCCCGCGTGACGCTGCTCCTGCGAGGGTGCTCCCTTCCCAGCTGCTGCACTTTGCCGGTCCGGCGACGGCCGCCGTGTGCCATCCTTGGCCATAGGGCACCGTCCCGAGCAGTTCTCCCTCCTCCTCCTCCGTGCGTGTCCCACCTGCTTGTGCTGCTACCCTTGGATTGCGCACGGGATCTGCGGCCGGTCGCAAGGGTATCCGTCGCATGCCCTCCTCCTGGCGGCCCCCTCGCCACCGGCGGCCCGTCCTATCCCCCGAGCCATGGCAACGGCTCTCGTGGTGGCAATGAGTATACAGTGTTAGTGGTGGTCTCGAAGCCCTCAAGGCGGGTGCTTGCTGGCGCTCCGGCCCCGATGACCTTGGACCCCGCGTCCCTTCCGGTGTCCATGGCTGCCGCGTCCTCTGTCGGGCGGCTCTAGCCTGACCCAGCAGCTGCGTTCCTTCCACCTTGCCTGGCTCCCTGATGTCCCGATGACTATGGCCATGGTAGCCAGGATCTGCGTCCCTCCAGTCCTTGCTTGTCGGCGTTGCCTATCGCCGTCGGCCCACCCCCTCGTGGCTTGCTTCACGCCCGCCCTACCTTGTATGCCTCAAAGTCTTCGCTTTTGCCAGATCCAACGCTGATGCGTTCGGAGGCGGTGCCACCCTCCGACGACAGCTGTAGCCCCGCCAACCCCCTTCTGACAAGGTGACTCCGACCGGCATTTGCTTCATCATCTTTGTTTCCAGATATGATGGCTATGGGATTGCTCAACCTCAGGCCAGGGAGAAACTCCTGGTCGGCTTGCCGATGCTGGCAGCGGCGGCGTCTGTGGATGTCGTTTCCTTCTTGGAGGCACTGTCAAGGCCCTCAGCTGTGCCCCTCTTCGAGCTCAGGGGAAACCCTAGGTCCGGTTCCTTCGGATCGGATGGTGACGGCGTCTCGACGTCGTCCTCCTTCTTGAAGGCGTCATCTTGCTTGCTCGCGGTGTCCTCGGTTTTGGTTCTCGAGATGTTGATGCTCTAGTTGGTCCGGCGTTGCCACTCTTGGTTCGGGTTTGGTTGGTTTAGCTGTGATGTATCCCCTCTTCGGATCAACCATCTCTTTTCTTTCTGCTCCGGGTGTCATGTTCACGCCTGTTTGCGTTCGTGTCATATGTTGTACCGCTATCTGTACTCATTTTTTTCTTCTATCAATGCAATGATACGCAAGCTTTGCGTATTCGAGAAAAAAAAGATGATCTTCCGGGCGGAGCGTGATGCTCGGATCCTCCAGCACCTCCACCGGCTCCATCTCCAACAGGTTCTCTGGTGATTTCATGTGTCGGCGACGAAAGGAAAGAGAGGCTGGGACAAAAAAGCGAGAATTGAGCGGAGAGCCGTGACGAATGGAAGAAGAGAGCGTGGGTTTTTTTTTTTACAGGAAAGAGGTAGGATGCTACAAAAGCGCGGACTCCGCTTACTTTTTGGTGGGCCAGGGACATCGACGCGCATCTCTTGTCCTTTACAGTTAGCGCGTTTCGTTGCTCATCTGTATATCTAATCTAATCCCCCCAGCCATCCCACCTGCAGCAAGGAGACCACCACTCATTCAGCTCGTTTCTCCCTTCGATCTCTGAACGTCTCCTCTCAAGGTTAGTGCTCTTTGTGCAACTAATTGATTGTTATCTTCAAGTCTGGCATCAAGGTGTCGAACGGTCGTGGTTTGGTCAACGCTGCTCACTCCCTAGTTTCTCTCGCTCTTGTCGTCTCCGCTGGCCGGAGAGGAAAGGGGCTTCCCTCTTCCTCTGCATATCCAGATCCATAGCAGTAATCAGTCTCCCCCAGATCCAAAACTTGTGGAAGCGGACGGTGCTGCTGTAGAAACTGGCACATCTGAGGTTTATTCCTTTACAGCGTTTCCAGTAATCTCCCCTGCTTTGCATTTCTCTCCACCACTTAGCGCCATCCCTCCAGATCTGACCACTCAATCCTCAGATTTGTGGCCATTTCCACGCACTAGGCTGCTCACTGCCTTTACTTGGGTCTTTCTGATGCTCCTCGCGTCGTACTCTGCTTCTTTCTTCGTCAGCCCTTATGCCCCGGCGTCAAACCGGTTTCTTCCTTCTGCCTGTGTGCACGGTTTCTGGCGGCGACGGTGCATCCAGATCGCCGGCGCCGAAGCTCGTCACTGCTGCTGGATCATGACGTCCCTGCTTCCAGACGTGTCGAGCCCTTGTCTGCTATTTCGGACAGGCAGAGCTAGTTAGCTTGGGGCAGGGCAGGCTTTGCAAAATATAAGCATGGTTAATTAATCCCCGTGAGCTTCCACATGCTGCAAAATATGTGGAGTAGTGTTTTCTTCGGGTATTCTTGAGCTGTGTTTTTTTTTTTGTTCTGCAGAAAAAGTGTAGAGGGGCATGTATAAAAAAGGTTCTCATTTTTTCGAAAAGGGGATAACCCCGGCCTCTCTGCATCATACCATGCACACAGCCAATATAAATGATCTCCTGGAGTAGCTCTCAGCTTTTCAGTTTAGTTGTGCTTCTCATCCCAACAATGTTTCAGCACTACACCAAATTAGGCTTTTAAACAACAATAGTCGCATGTTATCTCAACTTTACATGCATTATGTCTTGCTCGTATCTACATTGGTATAAATCTTACAACACTTTCTTCTATTTTGCACTTAATGCAGGGTTTTATTACACCATTGGACATTCTGTATCAGTTCCGTTTTGTGCTAAATATTTGTTGGCACGTGAATAATATACTGGAGACAACTTTCTTGTACAAAATACTGCTATAGAAAGGTACCCCTCCGTAAAGAAATATAAGATTGTTTAATATAAGAGCGTTTAGATCACACGCTCTTATATTTCTTTACAGAGGGAGTAATAGTTTCTGGTGATATAATCAATTGTCAGTTCTTCATGCAATGGTCCTCTAGTAGGAACAAATCATTTTTTTTCTTGTTATTGTTGAAAGTGCATAGTTTGAAATGGATTGCACAGCAGATACATGGATCATGAGATCCTGGAGCATATACTTGCTGGAAGAGAGAAGCCAACAAACCTATCATTCACACTTTTGAAGAATATCACAGAGAACTTCTCGGACGATCGAGAAATCGGTAATGGTGGATCTGCAACGGTTTATAAGGTAAATTATTTTAACAGAAATTAGGCATATGTCATCTAAAGATCACGCTTGAAATCCAAGATACCCCTTAGTTTTGGTGGTACTCTGCGTATATATTGAAGCCAGTGAATCAGGCAGATTCGTGTACCCCCCAACCACCACCCCAAAAAAAGGCAATTCTGTGTGTGGGGTACTCCTAGGATAGAGACACGATGTGTCATGTTTATGGCACAAGCCTGCTCGAATGCATTAGTTGGCCAGGGAGACTCAAATATATGGTAGCGCGAGTGTTGTATTACTCACTTACTCCATCTCCTTATTGCATAGCACCTTCAAATTCAGCTAGACATTCTTTTAATGCTCACAAGAGAGGTTAAACAGGGAGTGCTCCCAAATGGGAACGTTGCGGTAAAGAGGATAAGGAACAGTCATTCAATCAATGATGCATTATTTTATCGTGAAGTTGACAGCCTGTTGAACATTGAACATAAAAATGTGGTACGGTTTCTTGGCTTCTGTGCTAACACATACCAAACAGCCATCCAAATCAAAGGGTCGAAACAACATATTTATGCCGAGGTAAGAGAAAGACTACTCTGTTTTGAGTATATCAGCAATGGAAGCCTACAAAAATATATTACTGGTACGTTATTGTTGCATCCCATGCATCCTTTATCTTTCTTTTCTTTTTCTTTCTATCTCACTTCTCATTGATATGTTTTATTTATAATTAAGAAGTGATAGACAGGAACAGAAATGTTGATGTCATTTATTGTTCAACATTTAGTGGCATACACAACTCAGATGGTGGAAACTTTCATGTCTCGCTGTTACTTTTCCCATTATGCAGATGAATTAAGGGGACTTGAATGGAATACTCGATATGGAATAATTAGAGGCATTTGTGAAGGTTTGTATCATCTGCACAAGGAAAAGCAGATCTATCATATGGATCTAAAACCCGACAATATACTCCTAGATAATGACATGGTGCCGAAAATCACTGATTTTGGCTTATCAAGGCTTGATGAAAAGACCAAAACCATGAATGAATACCGTCCTGGATCATTGTAAGCTTTGCATCAAAATAACAAACTTCCTTGGCATTTACTCACATTTTCTGATGTTATAATGCATTCTAATATCAACCTTTTATGTAGAGGATATTGTGCCCCAGAATACCTACATCAGGGAAAGATGTCATTCAAATCAGACATGTACGGTTTGGGTATGATAATTATTCAACTAGTGACAGGAGAAAAGGTGATCCGGAATAATAATAATAACAATGTAAGAGGGTCGTATCCTGCTAATTTCTTTTTAGAAATACCCTAACTTTCCACCTTGCTCATTTCTTACCATTCCTTTTAGTAACTTTACTTAATTTGCACATTGTGGTATTGGATGGCATGCATATCTAGTTAAATTACATAATGGAAGAGAACATAAGCCATGTGATAGTCTTACTCGAAAACCCGCACATTACTCATACCGCCGTTTTAGAAGTTGATTTCAAGTAGTTGTAATACCCAACAAATTAGTGTTGGCCCATGTGGACCAAGTGGAGTTGTGCGGTGGGATTAGTCCTACATGGAAAGTTTAAACAGACCATCATATATACCCATGTGTTCCAATCATGGCACCTCTAGGTTAACCCTTTTACACGAAGCGAGGATGACCTACTGATTGGAGTGTTTGGTGTTTCATGGTTGGAGTATGTTGATGATCACCCCTTCGTACATGTCATGTGCCATGCCTGTGTGCCCTCCACGAGCCCATACGCGAACGCAACCCATGCAACTACAAGATGCACTCTAGTACCACTTGTCTCATGTTGGCCCACATTTGCTTAATTCATTGCCCACAAGTAGGTTGAGCTCACGTATGCATAGAATCCTGTTACATTGATAGCATGACGTTAGTCATGTGTGATTGAGTGCAAACACCGAAAACTACCGCAGAAGATGGTTATCTCAGGCCTCCTTTGGTTTGAAAGAATTCTATAGGATAGGATTCTTGTAGGAATATTTCCTTTAAAGCCCTTTGGTTCATAGGAATGATTCCTATTCCTACATAGGATTAGTCCTATCCTCCACATTTCAAAAGAAAATAGACATGAGCCTAGACTCAATGGAAAAATTCCTATGATGTGAACCAAATGACATCTCTTTTTCTAATCCTACTATTTCCTATAAGTTTCCTGTTCCTATAATAATCCTATCATATATATGAACCAGAGGAGGCCTCAGGCGCGAGGCCTCGGGCGCGTGAAAAACCTGTGTCCGCGGTGGGTTTTGCCACCCTCTTGGGTAAAAGACTAAA